GCGGGCGCGGCCATCCCGGTGCGCTCGGGGCTCGCCGTCCCGGTGTGCCGCGCAGGCGGCGCTCCCTGCCCGACGCGCCCGCTGAAGCGGTGGGGGGGTCCTGGTCCTGGTCCCAAGGCAATGCGGAACCAAAGCCCACCTCCAGATTCTGGAATAAGGGATAGAAAAGTTAATCAACTGAGTAGTTGTTTTTTAAACAGTGTCTGCACCCTGCAAACAGGAAAGCTGTATTATTCTGCCACGGGCAGTAGGTAAAACCCCTCGGTTTTTGCATCGAAGGCAACGCTCGCTCCTTCGGCGTGGCTGCTGGCGCAGCCTTCGGCTCCAGAGCAGCTGCTGGGCTCGGGCCGCGCGAGGAGGGAAGCTGGAGAGTGCGCACGCTGACCCGAAAACCAGCGGCTGCCCTGTTGATGCTGCTGAAAACTCGCACAGTTAGAAAAATCCCTCGTTTCCTTCCAGTCCCGTGTTTTCCCAGGCCCTGCTGGGAATTAATCTGGGATTCCGGTTGCCAGAGCCGCTGGCAGGAGCGGGGGGAGCGCCAGCGCCAGCTGCCCTGCAGCGCCCTTCCCGCCAGCCTGCCTGCTGCCGATCCGAGCGTGGCTCCGGGCTCGTTTCAGTTTCGTGTTCAGCTCCGCAGCTGCTGGGAGGGGTTATCTTTCCCGGAAGCCATTTCGGTTGCTTTTATCACCAGAGGAGCCCAAATTCCCTCCTCCGAGGCGTTCGGGGCGCTGCTGTTCAGCGTGGCGCGAAGAAACGGCAGTTCTTAACGCGAGAGACCGCACTCAGGAACAGCCTTTGCTGCGGGGACGGAGGATCGCCGAACAGCCTTCGCTCCCTTTGCGGTCTTATTTGGCGACGAGATTGCTGCAGCTGTCGCAACCGGCTGGGACTTTTGGTTCCCGTTTTCGGGCGGAGATCCCCGCAGCACGCCGCGTCCCCGTCATCTCGTAGCCGCAAGCGTTTGTGTTCAGAAATAAGTCTGACGCTCAAAGCGCTCTGCCCGGGCCGTAGCTTTGCGGCAGCTCGTGGTGCCTGTGGGGCTGCCGCTGCTCGCACGTGAGGGGGGGAGACTTCCCTGCCGCTGCTGCCACGTGACGGGTGAAGCTTCCCCTTCCTGCTTGGGCAGGACCGCGGCGGCCGAGGCCGGAGCCTCCTCGGGTCGGAGGGGCGGCGCGGGTGGGCCAGGGCACGGGACCGGCTGTGGGACCGGCCGGGGTGGCTGGGAGGGGTGGTCTGAGCCAAGCGGGGCAGCTGAGGCGAGGGGATGCGGGGGTGGCGGCGTCCTCTGCGCCCCGCTCCTCCTGGTAGAGGCTCTTGAGGGCCTGCGCTTGCGCGGTGGGAACCCGCGGTCTCTCGGGGTTGCGAGCCTGCAAACTATTTTCTTTTTGCGTTTCAGAACAGAGGCTTCTCGAAGAAGAGTCACACATTCCTGCCTAAAATATTTAGAAAAATGTCTTCTCAATCGGCGAAAGAAAGACCCGAAAACTTGCAGTTTCCTTTCCTTGACGATGAAGATACCATCTCCACAGTCAAAGAATCTAAAACCTTTTTTATTTTAAGAGGCCTGCCCGGCAGTGGGAAGTCCACTCTTGCCCAGGCCATTCAGGATAGGTATAAAGATGCCTGCAAGGTCGTCTCTGCCGATAGCTACAAAATTACTCCTTCAATAAGAAGCACCATTCCTGAAGAGTATTCAAAGGTGGACGAGGATCTAGTTGAATATTGCAAACGAGATGTCAGCGTTATCGTTTTGGATGACACTCACCACGAGAGGGAACGACTGGACCAACTCTTCGATATTGCTGACAAATACCGGTACAAAGTCATCTTTGCCGAGCCCAAAACCCAGTGGCGAATGGATTGCTTGCAGCTGAAGGAAAAGAATCAATGGAAACTGTCAGTGGAAGAGCTGAAGAAGATGAAGCCCAGCTTGGAGAAGGAATTCCTGCCCATGTATTTTGGGTGGTTTTTGAGCAAAAGAAGCTCAGAGATCCTGAGGAAGGCTGGCCAGGCCTTCTTAGATGAGCTTGGAAGTCTCAAAGCCTTCAAAAAGGAGAGCAAATACTGTATGTATAGAAGCATCTTGCCAAGTCCTTACTCTGTTGATGAGGCGTTAACACGCGGCAAATGGAACAAGTTTGGTCAGCTTCCGAAGTGAATTTCTAGTTAAAGTTAGCAACGTGAAAAAGTGCTTAAAGATACTAATCTGTTTCCCGTAGCTGCCAGAGTTGCTGTTGGAAGTAAAAATACAGAAACATTTTTCCCAAGAAGCCTGTTTAGGTGTGCCATGCAGGGAGCGGGTCTGGATGGCAGCAGCGCCGCATCAGGCGGCTGCAGCGAGTCAGAGAGAAAGGGGAAGGACTGAACCACCTTGTCCCTTAAGGGATTCGTACAAGGTCAGGGATCAGATGAGCCGCGACGATGCGCAGAAGCTCCTGTTTTCTGGTTACATCCGCTGTTAGCCTAGGCGAAGGAGTTTTGCTTACCCATCTAGTCCTTTTCAGCAGTCAGAAAGATGAAACGTGAAGGACAGGGTGGTGAAGCAAGCTGAGATGGGACTTAGCCTCACGGGGCGACATCAGGGGGATCACTTTCTGATAGTAATATTGTTTACCTGTATTTGCAGTTGCTTCCGCTATTGAAGATCCCAAAATAAAAATAGATCTCACCAGCTACTTTGTGAAGAGGCCGCCCGGGGTCTTACACTGCACCACAAAGTACACCGAGTTTGGAAAAGCAGCCGGAGCCGAGGAGTACATGCAGCAAGACGTGAGTACGGGGCTCCGCTCCTCCCCGCGACCCCGCTCTCCCTGCCCCGCCCCGGCGGGGGATCCGCAAGCCTCGGGGTGGGCTGGGGCCGCGGCTTTGCTCGGAGCCGAGGGGGCGGCTGTAGGGACGGTGAGCACGTCCACAGGGCCTCTGCCATAGAAAAGTCGTAATTGTGGGAGAGAGGGTGGCTGTTTCCCGCCAGGTTCCACACAGAGAACTCCTGCCCCGTCCCCATCGCCCCCGACTTCCAGCATCATCTCCAATAGCTTGATCTGAACGATGATAAATTCAGGTATTTGCACTTCCAGCTAAATTATTTCAAAACTAATGAGCCCAAGTTAAATATTGGAATTTGTGAAAAGATGTAACCAGCTCCGAATGCACGGAGTGGGAACTTCAGGCCACGATCTTCTACTTGAATCATAGATTCATTAAGGTTGGAAAAGACCCTTAAGATCATCGAGTCCAACCGTTAACCCAGCGCTGCCAAGGCCACCACTAACCCATGTCCCTCAGCACCACATCTCCCTGGCTTTTAAATCCCCCCAGGGATGGGGACTCAGCCCCTGCCCTGGGCAGCCT